GGGGCCCTATCATCCTTAGGGCATGACCCTGCTTCTGGCTCTGCTCAGGACAGCAGCTGGAACCTCCAGGCACTGTGGCAGGAGCTCAGTGGGAGAAGGAGCCAGGGGTCCCTAAACACCTCCACCCGTGCCACTTGTGGCAGATGCCATCCCAGGGGCTGGTGACCCAGTGCAGAGGCAGATCCATGTGCCAGCCTCCCACATGTCCCTCTGCATCTGTGCCAGGCTGGCTGGCACTGCAGGATGTGCGGAGCAGACAGCGACTTGTGGGGACCAGAGAGAGCTGCAGAGGGACAGCAAGCACTGTGAGATGGGAGGGAAGCTGCATGGGTGATGGGAACACCAGGCCAGGCTTGGAAACTATCATTATGCACAAAACTAAGGAGAAACTGTTAATTTGTTAGGGGGGATCTTAGTCCCTCTGGTGAATAAAGGCTCCTGAAGGAGCATCTGCAGGGATGGTGGGATACAGACACAGGCTCAGCTCAGGGTCAGCACTGCCATGAGCTTACCTGCACCAGGCCCACATGCAGCAGCTCCTGTTCACTTGCAATTTGAACAGGCAAGAGAGGAGTTGACAAAGGGAAAAGACCTATGGAAAACTCAAACGTGTTTTGTAGACTTCCTCTTTGGACAAACTGTGTTTGCTTTTCTCCTTTTTTTTCTTTTTTCTTTTTTTTTTTTGAAGGGGGGGGTATTCTTGTTTCAGCTGGAATAGAATTATTTTTCTTCTTAATAGCTGGTACTACTGAGTTCTTCTTAGTGCCGTGTTTTGGATTTAAAATGAAACTTGTGTTGAAAACACACTGATGTTTTGGTTGTTGCTAAGTAGTGCTTACACAAAGTCAAGGACTTTCCAGTGTCTCATGCTCTGCCAGTGAGGAGGAGCACAAAAAGCTGGGAGGGAGCACAGCCAGGAGAGCTGACCCAAACCCCATCCAAATGGGATGTTCCACACCACAGAAAATCATAATTACTATATAAACAGGGCTGAGGTGGTCAGAAGGTGTCAATTGCTGCTCAGGGATGGGCTAGGCATTGGTCAGTGTGTAGTGAGCAATTGAATTGTGCATCATTCCTTTTTCTTCATTTTATAATTCCTTTTTTTAAAATCACAATTGTTATTATTATCACACTTTACTTTGTTTCAATTATTAATCTGTTCTTGTCTCAACCCACAAGTTTTGTTTACTTTTCCTTTTTTTTTTTCCTGAGTCCCTTGTGTTCTTTGTTTCCCTCCAGGGACGGGGAGGGGTTGAGCAAGCAGCTGCACAATACTTGGGTGCCAGCTATGGTTAAACACTTAGGCAAGGGGGAGAAAAGTTGACCTTGGCTTACTGTGAGAGAGAAGAAGGCAACCCTTTGCACTGCCAGCAGCCTTGATAGTCCCCCGGGCTGAGCACTGACTGTGGCACTTCAGCCCTGGAGGTTTGATGGACACCTTCCTGCCGCCCTGTCCTCCTGGGCTGCACATACACCTCGTGGAGTCCCTCCCTGCCTTCTCTCATTTCCATCTCCCACTCTTCTTTGGCTGCATGCCACATTAGCATGTGACTTGTTATGAGCACCAGGAAGGATTTAAACTTTCCAAACATCACTAATTATTGACTTTTTCATATTGACAAAGCTATGCTTAATGCCACAGCCTGTAAGTGGGGCATGGTCTCTGCATGGACAGCACGGTAGCATCCCTCCTCTGACAATGACTCCTGCAGGAACAGGGTTCACACTCCAGACCAGATTTGTGGGTGAGTGTGAGGCTGCCATTGCAAGTAGCTTTGATGAGGACCAGATCTGTATCATTTTCTCTTGCAGACCTCTCTCTGGGAGCATCCTGCCTCTCTCTGGACCAGCCCACCTGCCCCTGGACACGCTCAGGCTGCCCCTGTGGCCATGCCAGCTCCCTGCTCAGGTGCCACGTGCTGCTGCCTTGCAAGGAGGTGTGGGTGCAGGTGAGCAAAGCTGTCACAGCAGCTCACCTCCTTCCTGGTGAGTCACCACGCCCCAGTATCTGTCAGTAGGGCTGTGTCTGTGCCCAGCCTGAAGCAGCGCGTGTGCATCCATGGGACTGTAATGAGCCACTCCCGAAGTCTGGCTGGATGGGTTTTTTTGGGTGTTGCTGAGTTTGGTTGGCACACAATTTATAAAGACTTGCCTGAATTGTTAGCTTTGGATGGTAACAGCTTTAGAAATGGATCCTTCTGGCCATTTCCTGTAAGAAAAGAAAAGGCTGCTTGGGCTCCAAACAGTGATTTGGTGCTTTTGTGTTGGGAATTTGTGAAGTCCCTGGCATGGGATGCAAAGCAAAGCACAGGAAGCAAAGAAAGCCTTCATGGTGTCTGAGCCTTGGAAGCAGCTAGTACAGCCCCAAGGAAAGCTGTTCCCAGCCATGCAAATGTTCCCAGATATGGCCATGCACAGCACGAGGCATCTCCTTATGTCCCAGTCCTTCCCAGACAGCCAACCTGGCCTTCCCAGCTGTGGCAGGGTCACACCTCCAGTGACTCTTCCCCAGCTGCTTCTTCGCTTCTGCCAATTAGCCAATGTTTTCCCCAAGGTCTCAACAAAGGGACTAATGCTTGGCCAGGGGCCTCCTTCCCCATTCCCATCAGCTCTGCACACAGGGAGAACTGGCAGATTGCTCTGTACTTCTACTGCAGCTTCTCTCAGACTTCCAAAGATCAGGAGGCCTTGCTGAGGAGTGTCATGGTGATCTCAGTCCCAGGGTAGAGATAAGAAACCTGCTAAGCCCAGGAGAATTCAAGGAACATTTGGCTCCCTAATTTCATCAGTGTTGTGATTTACCCTCAGCAGGTAACCAAACCCTGCACAACCACTCGCTCACTCCTTTCTGGTGGGACGAGGGAGAGGACTGGAAAGGTACAAGTGAGAAAACTCATGGATTGAGATAAACACAATCTAAGAGAAAAACAAATGCTGTGCACAGAAGTAAAGCAAAACAAGGAATTAATTTATCACTTTCCAAAGGTGTTCAGCTATCTCCAGGACAGCAGAGCTCCATTATGTATGTAACAGTGACTTGGGAAGACAAATGCCATCACTCAGATTCTTTCCCCTTCTTCCCCCAGCTTTATACGTTGAGCTTGACATTGTATGGCCTGGAATATCCCTTGGGCCAGGAGGGGTCAGCTGTCCCAGCTGTGTCCCCTCCCAGTTCCTGGGGCACCCTCACGGCCTCCTCCCCAGCGAGAGGCTGTGAGAAGCAGAAAAGGCCTTGACACTGCAAGCCCCACTCAGCAATAACAGAAACATTCCTTGTTATCAACACTGTTCTCAGCACAAAGCTGAAACACAGCCCTGGACTGGTTACTGTGAAAAAATTATCTCTACCCCAAAACCAGTCAAATCAGTTATTGTGAGCAGTGGGTTTCCCTGTGCACTTGTGTTTTCCTTTGCAGTTTAGCAGGAATCTCAGTATTCCCTCAAGAGAAAATGAAACTACACACCAGAAATCAACACAGAGGCAAACCATTTGCAAAATCCCATGGTTCAGTGCTGACCAGCCAAACCCTGGGGCCTGTGCTACTAGCGCGGGGTTTTCCCACCATCCATTTTCATTCCCTCCCCCTCACCTCCAGCCTCAGTTGCTCTGAGTACACAGCTGCTCAGGCAACCAGATTAGAGGAGTAATCTTCCCCCTCCCAGGATATTTCTAACCCAGTTCATTTCCCTGACCTCATTCCACAGGAGCTGGTATAAACAAGTGAACCTACACCATACAGGGATCACTACTGTGGGATATGCTTGAGGGATGTGGGATGTTTGGGATGTGTTGTTCTAGAGAGAAATTCCTGCTATGCTGCAGCCTAAGGCTCATCTGAGTTCTCAGCTATTAGAAAGCTGACAGAGCTAGAAGCAATGCTTGGTGTTCAGCACACCTGAACAGCTGCTTGTTGATTGTGTACCAATCCTCTGAAGTGATATTTATCCTGAAGCACTCATACTGTTTAGACATGTGGATGTGTCTATGAAGAGCTATTGGTTCACTCAGCCAAACCTTTTTACCTACACATAGGCAATACATACACTGTAATAATTTTGGATAACCTGGTCACTTACTACTTTCCTAGTAAGAAGATATATAAAAGCCATAACTAAACGCAAATATGAAATAGTGAACCTATATTGAATAGTGTCTCCATATGCAGATTTCCATGCTAAAACATTTAACTGGGTGGGGGAAAGGAGAACGGCATTACAGAAAAAAATAGAAGGAAAGTCAGTGTAACATTTTTAAAGCAAAGATAAAAGACCCCTTGCAGTCTACAAGTTTGACATGGATCTCATTGTTGATGTATACAGGCACTCGATAAGCATTCACATAACCTCTAGCCATTGTCTGGTGAGAATAAACACCTTAATTTTATAGAAGGGAAACCAGGTGAGAGATTATAAACCCACCTCCAGTTACCTAAAAAGTTACTTCCTACTAATTCTATGAATCTCCTTAAAGATCAAAAGCTGTCAGCAAAAGATCATAAAATTGGACACAGGTCTCTGAAACCAAAGGTGACCATCCAGACCATCAGGTCATGTTTTCTTTAAGTCAGCCACACTGAAAATCTGATCCCTGAATATCCTGATCACTAAAGTCAGTATAAATGCTAAGAGGGGTCCCTCACACAGCTCTCCTCCAAGCAAGTAGTTACCTAGAGATTTTGCACAAAGCACTAGAGCAAGTGGGTTATTCCCAACAGCATTTTTTTCAGCAATTAACATCAGGACTGAAGTGTTCTGTGTTGTACACAACTGCTGTGCAACATCCAGGCAGTCCAAAAAGAATGTTGGGGTGTGAGAAGGAGATTTTTCCAGAAATACTTAGCATCTATTACCAGAGCCCAATCAACAATCACCTTCACCCTACTTCCCAATAAGCAGAATGATGCCTGTAGGGTACCTGGACCATGGTAGGGGGTGCTGGCCCAAATGCAGCTGCAGCCCCACGTTGTTTTTAAAGATGAAGGAAGAATGACCACACCTCAAGGCACTGAGCTGGATTTATTCATTTGACCATATCAGTATCAAACTAGAAATCATCTGTTTAAGATCATGTGTTAGAGAGGAGCAGCATTAAATAACAGACATGAAAAAGAGACTGTGCTTTAGAAAAGATTCAGTGTACAACATACACAGTATGCCATTTAACACAAATGCTTATAAAGAGTCATCCTAAGCATCAGAAAGAGTTTTATAAAAGTTTACGTTCTCATCCCATGGGATGTACAGAACTATGCAGTTTACATAGTTTTACTATCATCCAAAACATCATGTTTCAAATGTATGAGGCACAGCAAGAACAATATAATTCCATTTCCATAGGAACATAAACACTGCTTGTCACTAATGACATGCTTTCCAAACCGTAGCACTCACAGCAATTATACATGTGTACAATTTTTAAGTATTAAAAAGCAAGAGTTTGGAGCCTGCTTACTATTACCAATAGGGAATAACATTTGATCTACACTTGGAAATGATCATAGATACCCTTGCAGTAGTTGTAACATAGGAAGGAGTTGGAGTCACTGTCATACTTTGTCAGGGGCAACTTGCTGTGCAAATCCCAAAGCTAAGTGATACTGCCAGAAAAAGAGTCCCTCAACCCACAGAGAAGGGGACAGCTTCCTGCTTAGCTCCCACTGCCCAGGGAAGATGCAAAGTGAAAACATATCTGTAAACAAGTGATAATCTTAAATCTGTAAAAAAGTGATGATAACTCCACAGACAGCTGATAGAAATTAGCTCAGCTTACGGGGGCCCTGATTTTCATTAAGAATGACTAGAGACTGACTAAGTCTTAAAAAAAGAACAAGACTGAACCAGTCTTTGACTGTTTAAATAAAGGGTTTCTATTTTTTTTTTTTTTTTGAGAGGGGTAGCAGGAAGGTTTTCTCTAAGGACAGCTCAGAGAGACTGAATCTTACAGCCCACATGCTCAGTTATATTTTTTCCTGACATTATGTGCAAGCATATATTATAAGTTTTACAAAAGTGCAAGGCCCAGCACAGGAAGATATCCTGGATTAAGACATTCCCAGCAGTGCTCCTTTTGCCATCTTCTTCAGCAGACACACAAATATCACTGCTTGGGATCAGCTTATCAGAGCCCCTGAGGGTTTAGCTTAATCATCTGTGCAATGAAACACTATTCACATTTGACAGCCTATAATGGCAATAATTTTATGTACAAATTGGAAAATCAAGTCTTAAAATCAAGTTTTAAGAGGTAGAGGTCCATTTCTGACCCATCAACACAAAATGTTACTGAGTCAGTCATATTCTAAGGCTGGTGGTCCCCTAACAATATTGAAGTAACCAGCTAGAGCTCCAAGGTCTATGTAGAGTGATCTTTGTCTCTTTAGCAGGTCTGACTCCTCCATGCTCCCGTTACACAATGAGGAATCTAAAAAGAAAACAGAGAAACCATGTCATTACTGCACAAATAGCTGTTTCAGTTCATTTTCATGTTTGTAGGTATTACTGGAATATTTGGCCTATTTTTTAATCTTATTAATCTGTGGCTTAGAAAATTTTAAAATACAACATAAATCAAACCTCAAATAAAATCTAACAAACCAACCCACAACTCTAGGACAAAGAAAACAAAATACTTTGCAACTGAAAACAGCAAGTGTGCTCAACTACTTTAAAAAGGTCTTCATCAGAAGGGATAGCTAGGCAGAGCTTTATCATCCTCTGAGCTATAGTGCTGGAGGAGAATTTGGTGCAAGAAAAAAATCTGCTAACTTTCTGCCAACTGAGAATTCTGCTTCCTCATAGGGAAATTTTCATCTAAACACATGACATCATCTTTGTCTGGGTGTGACAACAGAGAACAAATACAGGACCATCAGTTTCAGATTTTTCATTCCTTTTAAATCAAGGTCTGAAAAGACAGATTGGGTTTGCAGTGGCAGAATTCCCCTGAATACTTGTATAATGAGTGCCTTGGAATCTCAACCACCTATAATAAAGTCCAAGTTTAATGTTCAAATATTCTTTTCATTTTCAAAAGAATTGATTCAGATGGTCTGAGCTGGTCAAAGGATTATGCACCCCCAAGGCAAAATCTAGAAGATACAAGGCCATTCTAAATTTAAAAACTGTGACTGATATCAGTGAATTTGTTGCAACAGATACGCATTACAGCACCCAAAACTTTGCACAAATATATTTCGAAATATTTATCCCAATTAAATAAACCACTTGTCTGGGAAGAGTCTTTCAATGCCTTTTGTCAGAACCCTCCAAATGTATTTGGTGAGTAAAAGAAAATAATTTTGAAGCCTGTTGGCAGGTTGTTGGCACTAAATCTCGCTTAGTCTTGAAAGGGCTGTTTCCTACCTAGCTGGTGTATTATCCTTCATTAAGCACTTACTAATGCACAAGGGCAACAGCATTCTATCCCACAGTCATTCTTGGTTTTGAAACAAGGGGCTTGTGCTGCTGACACTCAGCAACGTTAGTTATAGTTTTGTGTGTGTTTTTCCTTAAAAAGGGAAAGAGTGTTTGATTTGCTGGTGGTTGTTGGACTTTGTCATTGTTTACAAATCAAGAGTGTCTATAAAACATCTCTAGTACAGTGGCAAATTGAGTCCATTTGGGAGAACAATCTATACTTCATGAAGTGCCCGCAGTGGTCGACACAGCTTTTCCAAGAGCCAGACCTTCCAGAGCCCCGTAGAATTCAGGCTAAATTCCTCCCCATTGAAGTCAATGGGCGTTTAACAGATCACTTAATGACCTCGGGGTGTGATCTCATCTGACTGGGATTTTCACCGGTCACTTCTTAGATGTGTTTTGAGTTTCGTTGGCTCCTTACCACTCATTCAAATCAAGATTTGACACAAAGTAAAGCCTACAAAGCATAAGGCAAGTGAGCCTGATCCCATTACCTGTAATATTTTCTGGCAGCTGCAGATCCTTCCTCGCGAGCAGTCTTTTCCTTTCAAACAACGCCGAGTCCAGGCTCTGGCACCGCGGCTGCTCTTCTGGGGGTGGGTGTAAGGCTTCGTGTTTCAGTAAGTCTGCTGCAGACAGCCTGTGATTAGGATTCCTGTCCAGCGCTGCTTCTAGCAATTCTCTCATGGAAGTGCTGCAGTCCTCAGCAATATCCTCTAAGGGGGGAGCTTGCTTGTGTATCTGTTGGAATGAAAAAGACCATGGAAACCGTTATTCCAAGAACAGTGGAAGAGGAAGTCACGCATAATCACATGAATTGTCTAGGAATTCCCCAATTAGGACTCATCACCTCCCTAAGTAGGGTGGATCAACTATAACAGAGCATGCAAGTACACAAAATCCACTTTTTAAAATTCAGATTTTATAATAAATTTAAAAACTCAAAGAAACTTTGAGTAAGCCTAAAATCCAGTGCAATGCAAATTCACCAGATTTCTGTACCGCACTGGATGAATCAGAGAATCATATCTGCCAAGGCTCCGGTTTTTATCTGCAACTTCTAAGGAAAACAGACAAGTAGAAGACAGATTGTTTCAATCAAGTCTCACACTGATCTAACCCTGTCCTTCTAGTAAACCCAAGGCCTGTAAATTGAAACACAAATCACAGAGACAATTCCAGCTCAGTCTCTGTCTTCCCCTAAATGATCAAAACCCACTTCTTCCCTCCCTCCCTCCCCTGAAGCAAAAAGGATGATATCATCTCTCCGACAAATATTTTGATAGTTTTTGTATGACTGGAGCTTTCCCAACAAGAGCACAGGAAACCCTTCAACTGATAGTGAGCTGGCTCTGCTAAGGACACTTACAATATAGAGGTAGGATGGATATGCAGAACGAGGATATCTGTTCACCCAGGGTGGGATGCCTGTTTGCATATGAATTATAGTAGCTCCCATGCTGTAGATGTCTGCTTTTGTTGTGTGGCCTCTGCAAAGGATAACTTCAGGGCTCATGTAAATCTGTGAAAAATAGTTAAAAAAAGAAAAAGATTACTCAACAGGGGAAAACAAACCAAAGACACTTAATTACCATTTTGTGATCCTGGAAACAACCCCTCAGAAGGGATGCATCCCACCAGTACCTGCAAGCACCATTTGGGATATAAGATTGTTCTGTTCTGCATGAGTACAGCCAAAGAGACAGTACCTGGACAAACTCATATTCCAGGCTTGCCCTCCTCAGACAGGCTTCAACTCAGTTGCTGTGGGCCTTAGCTGAGCTGTGAGAGGCTGAGGTTCAAGCCATGGCTCTGCCTTGTTCAGAGTAGCAGAAACCCCATCCCTCCACAGCAAAAGCAGGTGCCTGAATTGCCAGTTTGTTTAGTGGGGCACTGCTGGGACTACTCCATTCTGCTTGAACAATGGCTGGGCATGAGCTAGAGAGGATGAACTGTACTGAGAGCCACCCTGATGGGGGTAGCAGCCCACTCCTCAGACTCCTGTTACACAGAATACTACACAACCCTTCTGAGCAGAAATAACATATATATTCCTTCTTGTCTTCTTTACTCTTCTTGCCTCCTCCTTCTTATTCAGTAACCTCCATGTTGGAGCATTATCCTGAGAAATGTGATAATAAGGAATAAGCCAGGTCTAGGCAATGCTTAAATTAAAAATTAGGTGCCCTTTCCACCAGATTATCCTCAGAGCAGCTATGAAGACAAGAAGCCCTCTTCTAACCTTTTTCCAAACCAAAAATTCTGATCTTTCCCGATGGAAACCAAAATAGTTTCCTTCCAAACATTTCATTTGCCAAGAAACATTTGAATTTGCCAAGAGTCTGAAGAAGGATCTTGGAAGCTCCTGCCAGCAACAGGCAGCTCGGAGTACAGCTGCAGGAGAGCCAGCCAGGCAGGATGCAGGAGGCACACCCTGCACAGCTCTGCCATCACCACTGGCCCGGGGAGCAGGTTTCAACACCACATGGGCACAGCCCACAGCACAGCAGGCTAGCAAGCTACCATATTTGCTTCTGGTTTCTACTTTTCCCTCACCAATTTCCCTCTAAAGGATTCAAACAAACTTTAATTAGTTCAAGTCATCCTGACACAAAGGATCACATTAAAAGCCATTAGCTGACACAAGGGCAGGAAGTTAAGTCATCACCACATGGTTTGATTGCTTATTGCCACAGATTGAGAACGGCTGTAGGGCTCACTCAAATTCCAAGGAATAGTTCCTAGTAAATTACATTCCATATCTGCAAATAGAACTTGTGATTGAAAGTGTGTGCAAAGCCTCAGCAGGTGTCTGCAGCTGCTACTGACTTATCCATTGCTTTCCTCAGGGCTAAGAGAGAATCAGTGCATCTGCACCCTCCACCTTTAAGTCTCATAAGGAGAACAGTTCTAATTTTGTAAAAAGAAGTGTTTGGCAAATAAAGTGCAACTTGAGTGAAACCTACATAAGCAAAAAGCAGCTGCTTCAAGAAAGAATGTTGGCACAAGCTCCTGTCTCCAGTTAAGGTGAGAAAATGGTTAAGATGCACCTTGACTGCACAGTGACAAAAATCAAAAATGAGCTCTGAAGCTCTGATTTCAGACTGCTGTCACCAAAGCAGGCAGCTCAAGCTATGCATAACTTCCCGTTCTTATTCCTTCTGACTTGTGGGCTGGCACTTGCCTGCCAGTCAGACCAGTGTCACAGCCCAGCTAAGAACCAGTCCCCTCTTCATGCTGCACTAGTTTTAGTTTAGCATTCCTGAAAATGAATCATACCTTCCACACTCAATAAACTTTTGCAGACAACTTTTTACCCTCAAATGGTTGTAACTGAAGCTTACATATTTTAACAAAGTGGCAGAAGCATAACAGAAAGAGTAGCAGCTGCCTAGAAAAAGTATTTCCTGCAGAGCAGTTTCATAACAACCACAGTTTAATGTTCTGCATGACTTGTACACAAAAGAAGCAGCAAGAGTTTTTTTCACACTACACCATCTAAACAAAATTTATCTTTCAATCCTGTTGCCCAGAATCGTAACTACTCATTTTTATAAACACAAAGAAGATTCACTACATTCAGACTTTCTGTGCTAGAGGAGTGAATAAAAATCCTAACTCCCAGAAAACATAAACGGGACAAAGGTTAGTCCACCTGCTACTTCCCTCAAGGACACAAGTCCCTGCCAACACCAGTTGTAAGAAAAACCAGGCAGTTCACAGGCACAGTGCTGTCTGTCAGGAACAGCACGACAGCTGTACCACTTCTTAAGGCTCCATAACGAAGGGTGCAAAACTCAAAGGGACTTTGGAGAGCTAAGATCTTACTTTGAAAAAAAAAACCAAAAAAAAAACCAAGAAAGCCAGACTAAAAAGGGCATTTGTGGGTGAATTAGGCACTGTGGAGAGGAAGAGGCCTAGAATGAAGACTGTGAGCTGAAAAACCTATAGGAAGCATCAGTAACATTAGCCTGGAAGTCTTCCACTGGTATCTGAAAATCTCCCTTCCCAGTGCTGTCTCCCCAACCTCACTTATGGCTGTGATGCTGCGGCAGGATTGCTGCTTCCCTGAGGCAGAAAACACCAAACATGTCCATATTTCAGGGTTGGGGGGACTATCAGCTTCCTGAGGACAGGACTGCAGGTGTTAAAGTGTGTGGAAACATTTTTCTCCTATTAAATGAAGAACTAAGTGGTTTTCACTCAGCAAAGTGAAAACACTGAAGTGTTTTCACTTTTCACTTGTTCTTACTAACACAACCTTGGCCTGTCCTCCAAGACCCAGAAGTGGATCCTCACCAGTCTGCTCCAGAATTATGGAAATTTCCTGTTTACACACATCTCCATCACTGGGAAATACCCTACTAACTCATACCTACCACTGTTCTTATTCGCATTAGCAGCACACAAAACCCCCTTGAACAAACAAAAAACCCCAAACCAAAGTAAAAACCCCACAAAGCTCACACATGAAGTGTGGCAGAAAGCATGCTGCTTCCAGTTCAGCAAGAATTTTAAGCTTTTAACTCCCCTAACTAGAAAGACATTGAAAATAAATATTCAAGTGTTTTCTCAATTATCTTGAAAAAACACACAAATGAACCTGACCTTCTGTGGAATCTTGGTTTATCCTACCCTTCTAAAAGTGAAATGTTTTTTGTCAGTTACACAAAGATCTCCTCTTTATACACGTGGAAGACTATTAAAAGGGTAAGTGCCAACATTTCAGCTAAAGTATTTCCTGTAAATATTCTCCTCCAGACACAGGAAACACAAATACCACATCTGCAGCAGCTATCCAAGCTCATTGTTGCTGCTTGGTTGTTTGCTAAAACTCCAGCCCTGGAAACCCCTCGGCAGGAATGCAGCCCTAATGGTGAGCAGAATCTCAAAGTTACTGAGAACATTTAAAATTACCCCACCTCTATCACTGTAATGTCTGAGCAATTTTACCAGATAACTGTGAACCGTGCCACGCACAACCTGTGAAGAACCAAAGGGTTGCATGTAGATGGGGAACGGACCTTAGAAGGGCTAAGGAATGAAACTCAGACACCTGTAATTTCTGTGGTTTTGAAGGAGGAATCAAAGTACAGTATTGAGCATACTATATACATACAGATAAATATATATCCAGTCTATAGTGAGTATCTCAGAGGAAATCTTTGCTACAGCAAAGAACAAATTCCTGTTTGAAGTGTCTCTGACCAGCAGCTGAAATACTGCGAACAACCCTCCTCAGAGTACTGTTTGACTTCATAATTGCTAACAAATGGCACTGCAGAGAAAGTGACACAGCTTTCAAAGCATTCCATTCAGCAAGTTGAAAATAAAAACATAATTGAGACTCCATTAATGTTTGCAACTTTTTTATAGGTTTTATAGCAACTGTTTTACCCATGCTTCTAAACCCTCAGCTTCAAATTTGAGCTAAACACCACAGCCATAGGACTAATGCAATATAAAGCCTTTTGTCCCTTCAGCTTCTTACCTCTGTTCCTCTAAGGTCTTTGGGATAGTAAATGTCTTCAGTCATTTGAACACTTAGGCCAAAATCGACCAAAACAGCCTTAGTTGACATAAAGACAATGTTGCTTGCTAAAAGAAAAACAAAAATTACATAATTTAAGTGTCTGACACGTTTGGTATTTATTTTACAACACTCCTGTTTCATTCAGATGCTAGCCTGCAAAGGGAGAGAGATTAGCACAACCACTCTCTACAGCCAATATCCTTCTAGACAAAATAAGTCTGGTAATGATTTGGTTCAATTTTAAATAATACATTAAAAATCAAACTGGACTGGTTCACGTAAAAGAATCAATGTTTGGTCATTTTTTTAGCTTAAAATTAAAATAAAAGATGAGAGAGAGGAAAAGGCTGAGGGTAGAGGAGGTAGGTAGAAGACTGGTAGGCAGCACAGCACAGTTTAATGGTCTCCAAGGTGGAGATCGTGCAGTGCAGCTCTGTCTATAAACAGCACAATTGTTTATAACACCAGTAAGTTTTTCTTTTAAGTGAAGACAGAAACAAAGGGTAACGAGGGTGCAGCCACACCAATCACCTGCACCGGTCAGTGAGGGCAGCTCAGCAGGACAATACAGGACAGACAATAGCTATAAAAGTAATAGAAGACTGAGCATTTCAAACTCCCTCTGAACTGCAGTAGCATCTAGGAGCTTAATTTACTTTCCTTCATAGAACTCTGCCTAAGGCACAACTTTGTACTCAGAGGCTTTGTTTGCAGCTGTATTTCTGATCAAATATTTAAGAATGTAGTGCTCAGTGTGAGCCTTGAGAAATTGTTTGCTGTTTCAGAAGATGTAGTAAAATGAAGTCTCCAAGTTACACAACAGAAACACATTTCTCTTCCAGGAAACTGTGGGCTATTTTCCACCTTGACAGTGCCTACCATGACCACCCAGTGGGAGGACTGACTTGATTTCAGCAGTTCTGATTCCTGCAGCAATGCTTCACACAGCTGCCTCCTTACTAACAATAAAGACTACATAAATCTGTAATTTTAGGGATAACTTTGAAGATATGGATTTTAAACACCCCATAACAGATGGTGCAAAGGACCATACTGCCACAGTGCAGCAGGATCTGCTGCCTGCCTGGGATCATACCAGTCCCAGCTGCAGCTGATTTTGGACTGAAGCTCCCCCCACCAAACAGCCTGATGGTTTAACTGCTCTCCAACCAAGGGTTAAAATGAGTGGCAACACTGAACACCTCCCAAGAACCATAATGTCTTCCTCCTCGTCTTTGCTAAGGGCATTTTTTCCCTCTCAATAAAATCCTCATCTTCTGTATCAGCAGAACAGACTTAATTGCAGCTCAAAAGCAGCAGATAGAGTGAAGAAATAATCAGAGGTTTTGGGAAACATTCTTTTCTATTGATTCTACCTGGGGAGGGAAAACACACACTGCTCCCTGCCTGGAGGTTGCCTTGCCAGGCAGTGGGCATGACTCCCCCTCAGGCCTGGAGTACTCAGCTCACCCCTGGCACCAAACAGGCAGGAGCATGGTCAGGGCTCACCCCCTGCACCTCTGGACAACCACGTCTGCCCCAGGCAACTTCTGCCTCATCATCTGCCCTGCAACCACCAACACAGGAAAAGGCTGGGAAAAGCAGAACACACTCATATCCACCACATTCACAATGGGCTGGTTCTACTACTGGATGTAGTAGGCTTTGGGCTGGCTTGGTTTTTAGATGGTTTAAATAATGTCTTTGTTAGAGCCATTTAAAATAAACCCACAGGAAAGACCCTTACTACAAATAAGAAAGGAAAATTAAGGGAAAAAAATAAGCATTTTTGTAGCCGTCAGAATCTCAAAGGCTTACATCTAAACTACTGACCCATACCTAATGAAAAAATAAAACCCCAAAACTGAAAATGCAAGACTGAAATAAAAATTTAGCAATTTCTAACCATCATCTTCTGTGAATTATTGTAATGCTTCAGTCTGAATATTTCTACGTTCAACCCTCAAGTTTAGCAAAATAAACTCACAGAGATTATCTGTGGGCCGAGGTGGTACTGGGAGAAACAACATTTAATACTAATTTAAATGCAACACATGAAAATTAAATTTTAAAGCAATTTAATATTAGTATATTTAATTTAGACTTAACATCAATGTTTTATTATTTATACATGTAAATATCCAGTTTTTTAAAAGCAATTTTTCATTAAAATATATTTATATTTTATAAATATTAAAATATATCGAATATATCAAAAATATTTTATATATTAAATCTATATAATATATAAAAATACTTTATATATATATAAAAAAAATTTTGCTGTACTTCTTGAAAGAAAAAAACAGCACAAATTATGTATTTGCTTCCAAAGTGTCTCAAACTGAGGAACAGATGTGTAAAAATGTAAAACCTAAAAGAAGGTGTGAGTTGAAGGTGAGCATGGAAACATTCAGGATGAATTTATTTTGAAAGCAGGAAACTTTGGCTGAACACAGACTGATAAGTTCAATCTTTAGCTTTTTTATTTAAATTGAGTTGCCCATGAATGGCACAGCATCTACAACTTTCTAATTACCCTCTCTGCTGGAATGAATTAATAAATAGCATAAGTAGCTATTATCTCCAGAACTTGACCTTGCCATTTGTGAGGCATTGTACATCCCTCCCACTTAGAAATGTAAGGCTATGTGCCCCAGCTCAGTCCCAGGGACTCCACCAGGGCCCCAGCCCAGCCAGGACCAGAAAGCACCCCAAGGAATCACACAGACGTACGTTTGATATCATGGTGGATAATCCTCTTTGAGTGGAGAAAGTCAAGTCCTTTCAGAATATGCTTTGTCACCCAAATGATTTCAAACTCTCTCATAGGACCACAGCTCTCCAGCTTTTCCATGACAGATCCTCCCTCTCCAGCTTCCATGAAGAGATGGATCGTCTCATCCCACAAAATAGCGCCGTATAATTCAGCAATGTTTTCATGACGGAAACATGCCTGTATTTCAACATCCGATGGTTTGAACTGTTCCACTGGGACCTAGGACATTGAAACAAAGCCACAGTTATCCATAATTAAAACAAGTTATCCATGTGGACACTAATTTTTCTATACATTAACAGAAAATAAGGAAGTATAGCACTTGTATCCACTTCTTAAAATAATGAGCTTTACTTTGCTCCTGTGACTTGTTTCCCTTTGCAGCTGAGAGACATCCTGTTAAAAGTTGAGAGATATTTTGGAATTGTGCCCAAATAAAAAGTGAAATCTTCCAGAAAAAGCAATGTAGCAAGAGTTATTCCCGTCAAAATTCAGTGATTACGCAAAAGCTTTATGCAAACTTCCTGGTGAAGGAGATAAAATTCCCACTGTTTTTTCCATTAGCTTTGTGCACTCATCTGCACTACCAGAACTACACACCCACCTGACAGGTGGATCGGTGTTTGCAGTGCTTAGGCCCATTAATGACCTCAATTCAGTCCTTATCAGCACTGGTTTATGGCTTACAAGAAATGAAACCTGCTTTGAAAGGAGCACCAGCAGCACGATATTTCTTTAAAAAGTACTGATGGCAGATTGCTGAGACAATAAAAGCAGTCTGCTTACACAGAGAAAAGCTACTACTGCTCTGTTTAGTTTTCTTCCCTTGGACCCATGTCTGCAAACTAGAGAAGAGGCTCATTTATTTCAGTGAGAAATACTGTTTGCATTTTCAGAAACATTAGTATACTTACTTCTGCAGTGGGTTATGCAGGAGCAGCTAACAATCTGTCCCCTTGTGAACACCCTGGCTGCAAGGGAAGGACATACAGCTGCCTGCCCAACTCACACACAGAGTTAATACAGGTTGTATTCATGAGCTGGGGGATATAGAGCAACTGTTGTCATCCCAACTGAGCTTTTACTGGCCCTGATATTTACTGCTCAATTCAAAATAGTATGTTAAATGGAATAGCTGGAAGAAAATGTTGGCTTGCATAAAAGTAGGGCAGTGCTCAGCAGTTCTTTTGAGGCATCTCACAACCTTAACTCCATCAGTGCATAGAACACAGAGTTGCACATACTGAATTCTCAGTTCTTAATATCACTGGAGTAAAGAAAACTGAAGTCTAAGCACCTCAGTTGAAGGACAAGAGCCTAAAACTTCTGCAGCAGCAGGGCTTTGCTCCACATTCAGCAGGGACAGGATCTCATACCAATATTTTACCATAGCAGGACAAGTAGAAAATCTACTCTGCACCACACCCCACATGCCAATTACACACACTTCTAGGTACTTTCAAAATGATGAAACATTTGCAGCTTTAGAGCCAAAAAATTAAAACAAGCTAACAGTGGTGTGCCTTTTCCCCACCTTGTTTAGGCCAGCAAAACCAAGATGATCATCAGCCAACAGTGGAATTTGATGCAGACATATTTGAAAATATACTGTAAGTAGTATGTTATACAATATTTGCTCAGAGATAAAACTACTGAACTAACATACCAGTTTGCATGCCATTCGTTTCTTGGTTTCTCTGTCTTGGGCTAAGTACACTTTCCCAAAAGCTCCCCGAGGAATAAAATCAGAACCAATATTCCTGTAAGTCAACTTCCATGGAAACAGGAGAACATCTGAGTCAATTTGATAGCGCCCATTCTTGGGTGTGATCTGTAGAGTTAAATAAATAATAAAAAAACACAGTGAAGTTAAAACTACTTCAAAACTAATTAATTTTATACATATACTGGAAAAAAAAATATCACTTATGTGTATGATGCACACGATCTGCTTAGTAGTCTTTATTTAGTAATGCCAAATGAGAACAGCATGTGAGGTGTGGCATTCATTCACAGCCCAGGCACCCACGTTTCTCTTCAGTGACTAACTTATGAAGTGTAAGTTGCAATTGTTTTGAAACAACAACAACAGCAGCAGCTGGGTTAATGAAATTACCTACCTCTTGTTATTAGATTTACCTGCACATGTTTGTCCTTCCTGTAATCTTGTTATGCCACATACCTGTTACTCACAGGTTATCTTATACAATGTGAGCAAGAGTTTCAGCATTTCCTAATATCACATGTACTGCTAGGAGTTTAATTTTCCATTGTGTATTGGAGTTTCTGCTGCTCAGTAGAAGGCCAAAGAAGCCTGCCTTGATTTTACCAGCTGCTTTCCTCTAGTTTTATACCACAGTTTAAAAAGAAGAGTGGGAGTAACATTGGCTCTCTAGATGGGTAATGCTGGGAGCTTTGGTTCTTCTCTACAACCAGCTAGGCAAGGAGGGGATTCAGGGCACCTAAGTCAGTATCTTGCTCTAAATCTTTCTCCCAAACAGCTCCCTCCCTCTGCACGTGACAGAGAGAAACCAAATGCCTAACAACAGTCATGTGAGTACTGCTTGATCTCTGATGTTGCTTCTTCAGTCTCTCAGCTAAAAAATTAATATTTCCTATTAATATGCTTCTAATTGTTTCAGCCAGTATCTGGAATATCATTAATCTCCTTACTGCTACTTTTTCAAGATTCTTGAAGGGATGTAAAATCACATCAGGGATATTTATCATTTCATACCTGTCATAGGGCCTCAAATACTCAGCTCTTCAGATACCCTTTCTAAGATAAAAGTGGACCAGGAAGATTATTTGGCTTACATTTCTATTTAAGATAGAACTATAATCTTTGATTCTCAATCTACCTTTATGCTTTTCAATTAGGAAAGTACCTTCTTGACTGCTAAAACTGTCATTTGTGATTTGTACCTAAAGAAATAAATTAATTCTTCTAAGTTCCTAAATCTGAGGAGTATAAATTCTTAACCTTTGGCCAAGGGGATATGGGGGGCTGTCCTTTAATAAAAAGTATTCTGCTTAAGATAGAGAGAACAAGTCTTCCTTCTATTTATTGGAGTCAGAGTAAAGCAATCTGTACATATCTAACAATCTGAACATCTTGCTTGCCTATTTCTTCATTTCAAAGTGTTGAGACTAATCCATATGGGTTACACCTTATCCTGGAAAGGAAGAGATGCCGAGCAGAGCTGATTTACAGAGCAAGACAGCGATGACCGCCACACCACGTTTTCAGGAGGATTTTAGGACTAGCTCCTAGCCTGACCCTGTGAACATTTGTCTGTGGATGCCATGCATCTTTCAGTTCAGTTTTAACTAAAAGAAATCCAGCTTGTGCACTTCAAGACCCTTTGTGATGCAAGCCACAGTGCAGTTGGGGGAGTCACCAGGCAATCAGAAACACTCCTGACCCTAACCAAAATGCTGTAGATATTTACAGAGAAATATCTGTAATACCTACTGAAATGCATCCAAAAGTAATGCCCTGCCTCCAACCCTCAGTTGCATAATGGGATCACGTGCACCTAATAGTACTTGGTTCATACCAATTGTAAGTAACAAGCAAGCCTCAGGCACTCAGTGTTCACATATAAAATACATTTCATATGAAATATATATCATATGCAAGATATTCAAATATATATTGTATATATAATACATAAAAATATATTTCATATCCAAGATATTTAAGATTATAGATATTGAACATCTTAAAAAATACTGCAGAAATACCAACATACATAAACAGAATTCCATTGCAAAATTCATTGTTCCCACAGCAAATGATCTTAAACAAAACTTTAATGACACTAATATCCAGAGATGCTCGTAGAAAACTAAAAATTTTAAGGAAAAAATTTACATCTCAAAACAACACATGTATATACTTGAATTCAGCAGTGTGAGATATTACATAATATTTTAACTCTTAAAATCACACTTGACAGTATGTGTTTTTTCTCCTTACATTACTACTGTTGACGTTTCGTGCAGATAGAGCAGATTTAGGAACTATATCATTAGATCCTAGATATTTATTTTTGGAAGTTTGCATAATGAATGTTCATAATGAATGAATGTATGAACACAAGGTACTAGAATACTCTTACTATTTCCCAGACCTGTAAATCATCATAATTCACAGAATCATAGACAGGCTTTGGTTGGAAGGGACCTTAAAAGATCAGCTAGTTGCAATTCCCCTACAGTGGGAAGGAACGTCACCCCCTAGGTCAGGTTGCTCAGGGCCCCATCCAACCTGGCTTTGAACACTTCTAGGGATGGGGCAGCCACAGTTTCTCTATACAGTCTGTTTCAGAGCCTTGCCACCCTCAGAGTAAATAAATGTCTGCACTTTCAGTTTAAAATCATTCCTCCTTCCTATCACTACATGGACCTTATAAAAAGTCATTCCCCCTCTTTTTTATACAAGTTGTGGATTTTATAAGCCCCTTTTAAGTACTGAAAGGACAAAACGAGTTGTAGATTTTACATTTTGACTGCTTGTCTCAAGTTTGTATTCAATACTGGGAAATGTTTTCTAACCTCAAGGGATACTAGGAGATAACAGAGTGGATTCTTCTGAACAACAGACCTTTCTCCATAGCTGCCTGAGACTGCAGGGGCTAGACTTGATAGGTTTAGAGACCCTTTCCAGTCTCAGGGTTGCACAGGAAACCACAGCCTGTTACTCCTTTATTTAGAATCATTAAAAACTTCTAATTCCTAAGGTCTATGAAATGACATTCAGTATGAAATAACAGAAAAGTAAGTAAAACAGACATACCATATTCAAGAGGATTCCAGATTCCTGTTGTCTGCATCCTTTAAATTGTTTTGCAGTGTTAGACACCTGATTTGCAAAAGCAAGCAGGTCTTCCACAGTCCCGTATTTGACGGAGGACATCAAAGAGACCTCCCTTTCACAAAACAGTAATGATTCTGCATGTTCATCGTTTTGATTTGCCTCTTCACACATTGTAATTAAGTTGTCTTCGTAGACTGCAATGTCTTCACCTGGATAATGGTTTTCCATGATGGCTATCACCTCAGACATATTTAGATCAGCTAGCAACAAGTCAATCTCCTCTTTGCAATCACTACCTGTGCTCATATACTCCATTACTGTCCACTTTGCAAAATCACTTCTGGAAAAAAAAAGAAACAAACTCGAAAACACTTTTCACTGAAATTTGTTTTAGCAAAGTAAGAATGAAAAGGAGTTATCAGAGTCATCAGCAGCCCACCATTATACAGTTAGATTTAAAATTAATAACTTGTATTATGAAGAAAATCAAAATTAGGATCCTGGGTGAAGACAAAATGGAGAAGGACTTGCTAGCGAAATTTATTTAGAGGTTTAGCTAACCTCTCCTGTCATTCACTCTTGGAATTTACTATGATAAAGCTTTCCCTATGAGGAACAGGTACAGTAAGAATACACCACTGTGATAGATATGCAAAAATGAAGGAGCACCCTCAATACAAACAAAGGAATTCATTGTTTGGAAAAGAACAGAGACAGATATGAACATTCTCGGTTTATGTCTAAGTTTGTATTGACAATTTATGTGATGTATTCAGAAAGAAGGAAAGGTCCCAAGCAAGGTCATTCCATGAGTAATAGGCATCTGTTAGTATCATTGTACACAGCACAACTGTTGCCACCTGAGATATAAAAGCCATATTTTTTTGCAAATAACTGGTCAGAACTAGACTTGAACTGAAATTTTCACCCTGACTTTCAGAAGAAAGTTACAAACTGAGCTATCATAAAAGCAATGAGCTTTTGAAGTGGTTTCCAGCAGTTTGTTCTGTTCCCACTAATCCTACCAGTAACTTGTAAGGTTACTATTGCAACTATTTTGCTGGAATGGATTTACACCAAGCTGGGTTCACCTTCCTAAAAAGTCCCTTTCTATTCCAGAGAGTTACATATTCAAGTTAAAAACACATGCATGGCCAGTCATTAAAATACTAACACAAATAGCTTCCAACACATAAATGTCTAGAGCACTTACCTTGTATTTAACCTGATTACATCACTCAAGACCATTTAAAAACGTCTCAATAGAATCCCTGAAGTCATCATGTTTTTCTGAACCCGTATTTACCACTGATGATAATTTCACAGTGTTCTGTGGCAGTCTATTAAAAAAAGCAAAACAAATAAAGCCATTGCATACCAGCTCAAGCAGAAGGACAGGTTTGTACTCATATATATCATTTGCTTCATGGAAAGAAGAGCTAGTAATCATAAGGCTGAGATAACAGGGGATTTTTCTGCAGAAAGAGATGACAACTCAAGAAAGAATCAAACCACTGTATCATCCAGATTTCCAAGTAGTAATGAAAAATAGTTTTTCCATGGCTAGGTCCCGAGTTTTATTCTCTCTATCTCATGCTTGCTTAAGCAAAGAATAGGACCTCCATTTCCTTTAGCAGAACTGACTACTGCATGCCCTCTTTAGAGAGCTCTCATTTCCCATTTTTGTAACCCACTGCACCATCTATTTTGGGCAAAAGATAACAACTAGGCAAAAAGACACTTTAAAAAAAAAAAAGCAGCAAACAAAACCTTATCTCAAGGACAAGCAGCAGACTCGGTCCCCAGAGGCCATGGAGCAGGTACAGTTTCTGGTTATGATCACTATCTTTCTTACCCTCACCACAAGGACGTAAAAGCTTTGTGGCACATATTTCTCATGGGTTAGAGTATTTACGTCAGCTCTAATGTGAAGAAAACCAAGTAAAATGACGTGTCTGAGCTGGCAAAGAAGTCAGACCACATGCTGAAAATTCAAAAGGCAGGACAGGACAGCAGATGCAGCATCAAAAAAGGCAGTGCCTGTTCCTTTTCAAATTCAGACCCAAACCCCGTGAGTGATGATGGCAGAGCAGTACTGTGCCCCCACTGTTCCCCAAAGACAGGCACAGCAACTTTCACCAGCACTCTACACCAGTTCATCCAGCCCTAATCAACCCACACCCCCAGCATTAGGGCAGCCAGGTTGGAAACTTTGTGGTCAATAGCACTACTTGATTGGGAAAAGATGCTGTGGGTGTTTTCTAGCCCCTATCACCTCAGCTTGCTCCATGACCAAGCTATAGGCTGTTAACAAAGCCTAAACGTGGTTACTTTTTAACAGAAATGAGATTTCTATCCTTCCCCAGAGCAGGACTTCTATTCATTGTTTGGGTTTTTTGGTTTTTTTGGGGTTTTTTTTTTGGTTTGTTTGTTTGTTTGTTTTGGGGTTTTTTTTGGTGCTGAATTAGTCAGGTTCAAAAGAAAAGAAACAGTGCTGTCATAAAAGGAACCAAGAGACCTCATGTGTAAAATCAGGTACAGTTACAAACTAGTCCTGAGGGACTTTCTGAAGAAAAACATGAGACTCTAGATGCTCTGGTCTTTTGTGGATAAAGACAAATACATACCACAGTAAAACTAATTTACTCTCTGACAGCATTTTCACACACAAAGCATCTGTACAGATTAGACCAAATGTAGCTTTCTGTAAGTGACAGCTCTGCTCTGCTCCTCAAAATGTTCCCAGACTAGAACACAATACTTACAATACTCTTGGCAGTTTCACTGCTATCCAAAAAGCTCTGAACATGAAGAAGTAACTATAACCTGCATATTCTCAGTTCTGTGCTTTTAGTGCCTGAGAAAAGCTGCAAATCCTTCACCTTTACAACTACCTGAAAGGAAGAGGCAATGAGGTGGGAGCTGGGCTCTTATCTCAAATAATAAGTGATGGGACGAAGGGAAATGGCCTCAACTTGTGCCAGGAGAGGTTGGATATAAGGGAAAAATTTCTTCTCTGAAAGAGTTGTCAAATACAGGATGCCCAGGGAAGTGGTGGAATCACCATCCCAGCTGGGATTTAAATACATGTAGATGTCACACTGTTTAGTGGTGGGCTTGATAGTGCTGGGTTGGACTTAATAATTTTACAGGTCTTTTCCAACCTAAATGATTTTCTTTTTCCCTACATCTAGCAAAGTCTAAGCACCAAATATTTACACAATAAAAGCAGTTCCTAGACTATAAAAGCTGATTTTTAAAATTATAAGCAATTTAGTATTATATTTCCCCTACAGGCAAAAAAAAAAAAAAAAAAAGGCAATTTTCCAATGGAGAACTCACTCTTTCTATTTATCCCTGAAATTCTGTACTAGTATCTGTGGTGGGCACTCATGTAGTATTCTAAATCATCCTATATAATCTAGGTGCATGAAGAAATGACATCACAAATTATGCTTTAACTAGATTCTCAGCTAAAAAACTGGTTTACCTGCAGTGGAAAAATAAAACTGCATGCAAACACTTAAGTCAGTTGCTGAAGCACAAGACTCTTTCTCCAGTTTTGCCAATATTTCAACATCATCACATGAGTAATTTGTAAGCCAAAGGTTTATTTCTCTATTCTCTGCGTAGCTTTTCAACCACTTTTGCCTAAGAAGTGTGCTGCCAGAGACCAACCTTATATCCATCATATTAAGTAAAAGTAACTGGATAACAGACTTCTGAGCCCCTGTGGGATTTTTTGTGTGTCAAGGATCAACAGTGGAAAAAATTGAACAAAATCTACAATAAAAATAAAATTTAAAAACCAAAACCACACTAACAAAAACCCTCAACACTCCTCCTTCCCAAAAGAAAGCTAGCCACAAACTGCATAGACTGGCTCAACACAATCATACGCCTACAATAAAGATCTTTTGTGCTGCTTTTATAGAATAATTTTCTGGTCTAGGTGACAAGTGACTTCACACTATAAATTTTAAAAAGTCCTTAGTTACTTTTAAGAAAACTTATCGACAGGCCTTGAAAAACACAATCCCTCTGGGAAAAAAAACTCTACTGTTAAGGAAGAAGTATCAACAATTTCAATTTCGACAACATTTCACATATTCACTTGGAATAAGAAACCCGTGAGCGCAGCCCCAGCCCCTTCCTGCCCCGCAGCCCCCGGGGACAGCGCAGGTGCCGCAGCCCCGGCGGCTCTCCCGGCACACGGCGCGGCTCGGGAGGCCGAGGCAGCCG